GTTCAGGAACCTGTAGTGGGCTCCTACTTTTTATGTGTCAAATCTGAACTCCTCTGACTTGTTTTTCAGTAGATTCCTTCATTTGGATAACTAATGTATCAATAGTTTATTGAAATGTAATTTCCACCACTCCCAAAATGAGCCTTTACTCTTCCCAGGATAAACTCCTTAATGCCGGTGAAACAAACCCTGTGAACTTCCACTTCTGTTATTTGGTTTATTCTCTTCCTCCAGCTGAGACCACTTGCTACTTTTTTTTTTAAATTAAGTTATTTATTTATTTTTGGCTGTGTCGGGTCTTCGTTTCTGTGCGACGGCTTTCTCCAGTTGTGGAGAGCGGGGTCCACTCTTCATCGCGGTGCGTGGGCCTCTCACTGTCACGGCCTCTCCCATTGAGGAGCACAGGCTCCAGACACGCAGGCTCAGTAGTTGCAGCTCATGGGCTTAGTTGCTCCGTGGCATGTGGGATCTTCCCAGACCAGGGCTTGAACCCGTATCCCCTATATTGGCAGGCAGATTCTTAACCACTGCGCCACCAGGGAAGCCTGCTACTCTTAAGTCTCTTGCTGAAATCCTGTTATCTCCTAACTGCCTGCTTAAAGTTTGCCCTCTCCTTTTAATTTTACTTGAATACACCAGCACCTATTAACTGCTTTCTTTTCTCAACCTCCGTTGCATTTATAATGTACAGTTTTTCTTTTAATTTCATTTAAAATTTTGTCTGCTGTTTAGATCTTATATCCTCAACTGAATTATAAGCTCTTTGAATGCAGGAATACATATATTTAATTATGGTTAGTTATAGTTATATAATCACCAAATAGCAACTAGCCCAGGGCAGGGTACATAGTAGATATCCAATAAGTACTTATTGCTTGATGAATTGATTGAGTATAGAATTATATTCTATAACTTTGAATTGAATAGAAACTAATTTCTTTCTTATTTTAAAAATATTTATTTACATATGTCCAGCTATACATCTAATTTTATTTTTGTATCACTTTGAAATGAACTGAATGTATATCTACTTTTATCACTCCATTTTAAAGTGATTTCTGGAGAATGCTCTCTCTGCAATGAAAATAAAAAACATATATTGATAATTCTCTTGAAGATTCAGTTAATATACAAAATTATTTGGAATTAAAGAAACTTTTACAATTTGAGAAACTTTTAATTTTATGCTATTTAGAAAAGCCTAGCAATCCACTTTTGTCTGACATGGAGATTTTGTCAAATTCCAGATTCTATTGTTGGTATATTACATTGAATAATAAAGTACCCTCAAATTTTCAAAAAATAAAACCAAATAAGTGGAATTCATCGTGAGAAAGACTGAATTAGTGGGAAGACAAAATTCAAATGTAAAAAAAAAGCATCTTCACTAAGATAAGTTTCTTTTAGCGCTATGTTAATAACAATTGATGATAGAAATCCTTTAGAGACTGCTATAATGATGCAATAATACTGATTATTAAGTACTCCTGAATAAAATACTTCTAAGGTCATACAAAGTTTATCTTAAGTATGAAAACACTCTCTTGTAGGATCTACTTTACACTTCAGAGACAGTTATAAACCCTTTTTTTTTTTTTTTTTTTTTTTTTTTTTTGCGGTACGCGGGCCTCTCACTGTTGTGGCCTCTCCCGTTGCGGAGCACAGGCTCCGGACGCACAGGCTCAGCGGCCATGGCTCACGGGCCCAGCCGCTCGGCGGCATGTGGGATCTTCCCGGACCGGGGCACGAACCCGTGTCCCCTGCATCAGCAGGCAGACTCTCAACCACTGCGCCACCAGGGAAGCCCCTATAAACCCTTTTAATAAAGCATACATAGGTAGAAATATGTTGATAATCAAGTAAGAGTACCAACAAACTCAGAATTCACATGATATACATTAATTAGGCTTCACTCTATTGGCTATTAAAAACAGTCAAGGGACTTCCCTGGTGGCTCAGTGGTTAAGAATCCGCCTGCCAGTGCAATGCAGGGAACACGGGTTTGAGCCCTGGTCCAGGAAGATCCCACATGCTGTGGAGCTACTGAGTCTGCGCTGTAGAGCCTGCAAGCCACAACTACTGAGCCCACGTGCCACAACTACTGAAACCCGCGCCCCTAGAGCCTGTGCTCCACAACAAGAGAAGCCACTGCAATGAGAAGCCCACACACTGCAACGAAGAGTAGCCCCCGCTCGCTGCAACTGGAGAAAGCCTGCGTGTAGCAATGAAGACCCAATGCAGACAAAAATAAAAAACGAAATAAATTTATTTTTAAAAATTCATGTTATCATTATGAAAGAACATTATTATAAAAATGGCAAATTTGTACTATCAGCCTGGAAAAGTCTCAGTTCAGGTTTGACCTCTGCAGGTCACAGATCAAGTCAAAAAGGCAATCCGCACAGCTACTGCGTTCTAGTTGCTGCCCTGGAGTTGCAAAGTGTATATAACATGTACAGTGCAGTTAAGAATTTCACTATTGGGAAAAAAATTATACCAACATATGACACAAATTTACAACAACCCGAAGAAGAAGAAAAGAATTATTCTTTGATTTTTGCATTCATGGGTCAAACTTACATGTTTGATTAACTGGGAAAAATTCAGAAGCATGCATATTTTTCACCTTATAATAAGTCAAGGGCAAATATCTCATAGTCCTTCATATGACTATACAGCACCATTTATGATTAAGATTCATGCCATTTCAGATCAGACTTTTAAGGTTTTTGGTCATGGTCATTAACAATATTGCAGAACAAATGATTACTTACTCTGATAATGACACTGTAAGGTGTTAATTTAAAACAATGTAAAGGTTAAGTTTCCAAGCATGAAAATATGTAACATTCCAAGTGGATTTAAAATTTGGAAATATCACCATTTCATTTTAACGATTAGATCTAAGGTGTATATTTCTCTTATCTTTTGAAACAACTGATTTAAAAGATTCTAAAAATAATTAATTGCACTGTATAAAGCAGTAACATACCTTTTCTCAAATTGATCTTAAACATGTGTTCCTCAGCTTTCCCCAAGGAGTCTCCGGTATGATACCTGTCACAGCAATTTCAGAAATTAGTCAGCCATAAAGGGGAGGTAACAGACATACAATTGTTTTCAGGAATCAATACTCTACAGTGTTTTTAAATGCTCTTTGCTTATTTATGTGGTCTTTTATTCGGGACCCATTATAGCTTGGACCTACGTTTGAACTAGGTTAGGAGAGAATGTGATATATGCAAAGAAATTTATTAGCAATTGGCTGTAATTGTGAATTAAAGACATTTAGAATTTTACTTCGTCTTTCCAACCTTGTCTTCTAGTGAAAGTGTTTTTTGGTAAGCTGAGATTTGTCATTTGAGTCTAATGATCTAATTTCTTTTCAATTGAATAGAAAGAAAAAGCCCACACTCGCACCTGGAAACCTGGCACTTAGGCATGAAATCAAGATGCCTGTTTTGTCGCATATTAAAGCAGGTATGGAAGACAGCCTCGGGATGGCTCCCAGTGACCCCATCTGTGGTTGTCATGTCCTCCTGTAACCCCCTGAGTTTGGCAGAACTCTGGGACTCATTTCTAATGCAGAGAATTCAACAGAAGTGATGGTGTGCCCCTTCCCAGGTTAGGTTATAAGAGACTGCTGCTTTCCTCTTGGCTCACCTGTTTCTGACTCTCTCTTGGACTCTTTGCTCTGAAGAAAGCCAGCTTCTGTGCTGTGAGCTGCCCTGTCGCCAGGTCTGTGTGGTGAGGAACTGTGGGAAGCTTTTAGTCAACAGCCAGGGAGGAACTGGGGCCCTCAGCCCAACATCTTGGGTCCTTCAGCCCCAGTCGAACCTTGAAATGGCTGCAGCCTCATGAAAGACCCTGAGCCAGAACCAGAACTCCTGACTCTCAGAAACTATGAGAGAATAAATGTTTGATGTTTGAACCTGCCCCAGTTGGGGTAATTTGTTATGAAGCAATAGAAAGGTAGCACAGAATGTAACTTCTGACACTTCCATTGGACAGAGCCCAGAAGAACCAGTTTTAAGCCACATTCTACTCCATTACTAGTAACATTATATAATATATGGAGTAGGAGTCCAGCCAAACTCAGAGATAGCATCTTCTATCCCGTAAGGTGAGATTTCATTTTCCAAAGTCAGGAAAGAGCCTCAGCGCTGGTGTCAGACTGCCTGGGCTTCAGTCTCGACTCTACTGGTTATCAGGTGTGTAAATCTGGACCTAAAACTCACTTCTCCATTTTTAAATGGAGGTAATGATAGTACTGTTGTGAGAACTGAATGAAGGAATTCACTTAAAGGACCGGGCACCCAGTACACATTTAACATGGTAAATTACTATGATTATCATCATCATCATCAGGTCAGAGAAAAGACAATAGTAGCTTTTATTCCGAATACTTTTTCTTCACAGCTTGAAAAACAGCCCCTTACTCTTTATAAAATAAGAACAGGACTAGGTTCCTCTTCTTCAGAGGACTGTTGCTAATATCTGTTTCAAACTGTCAGCTCTATTTAGAGAGTATTTCCATCCTTAGTATGACCTTGATTAAAATATCCTTTTTTAATCCTTAAAATATTTTGATTTATAAATGCCTTGTTTATGCTGTGATGAAGTTTTCATAAGTTTAGCATGGGATAAAAAATGCAAGTAGTAGAATTATCAGATTGATGACAACACTTTTTTTGAGTACTTACTAGGAAACATCAATGTCGCTACAACACGAATTATGTCCGTAAGATGAGTGATTTTTGTTTTTCAAACAGGCAAAACTATCCACTCAGATGAATTGTTTCCTTCAGAATAATAACTTTCATCCATTCCACAAACATGTGTTAGCACCTCCTATGTCCCAGGCACTATTCCAGGTGCTAGGGGTGCAATGATAAAGTACAGTCTGTGCCTTCAAGGAATCTGCAGTTGGAGACAAAAGAGTTTCAAGCAACTTTGTGTCAGTTTAAAGGGTACAATGAGGTAGGCACTTGCCATAAAAAATGGGTGTGGGAGAAGGCTCCGTGGTTGAGGTGAAGATTGAGACAGGTCCTGAAAGGTTAGCCAGAGTCATTAGGCAGGGAAAACGGACAAGGAGGGTGGGTTAGTGCTCCAGGCTGGGCAGGAGCCTGGAGGTAGGAGAGCATGTGGCATATTTAGGAGGCAGCAGGTATTCAGTATGGCTGGATCTTGTCAGGCCACCAGGAGGGGAGTGACAGAGGTGAAGCTGGGGAGGAAAGCAGTGTTCCCATCGTGAAGAGTCTTGGATGCCATTACAAGGATTTTGGACTTTACCGGGAATGCCTTGGCGAGCCAAGGAATGATTTTAAGAAGGAAGTGTTCTCATGGGTTACACACTTATTCAATAATGCTCCTTTACTCAAAACTTTATAGAGCTCCTTTTAAATTGCTTTCAGCTCATTCTTTTGAATATGCTCAATGCTGACAATGCTTTTGAGGGTGGATTGGATTTGGGGGCGGGATGTAGGGTGCGGGATGGGAAAGAAACTGGTGAGAGGAATTGTGTTCCGTCAACAAAGTTGATGATGAAGCAGGTTAATATTATTGGGGGGGGTCAAAAATTTGCTCTGATTATGAAGCCATGAGGCTGAATCTTTGCTTCCGATTGCATTTCATGAAAAACACATCTGTACACTTTAGAATGTATTTATTGGATGGCCACTCATGTTTTTAACTGACTTGGCAGCAGCAAAATCACCCAGATGCTTTGAGGGAATGTGATCTCCCAGCTTCGGAAATGGCACCCTGTGAAGCTTCTGGTCTGGGTCAGGGATCTGCAGTCAGAGCAGGGCTTCAGGGCAAACTCTCCTCACCGTCCATACTTTGCCACCATCTGTGCTGTGGTCCTACTTTAAATAATCTCAGACAACACCACTGGCATTTGTGTATGGGTTTCTCACCTTGCTATACTGTCTATCAGTGTTTAAAACCTTTTTATACACACTTAGCTTCTCTAAAGTGTTGGGGACAAACACTTCCAGCTCAGGTCTATGATGTGTGCAGTCCGTATCACTGTAGTAAGATGTTTAAGGCCGTGACTGAGCATCTTTCACATTCATCCTATTCACAAGTTTATGGCATACAGAGGAAAGTCCGCATTTTTTTCTAAGGACAGCGTATAGAGTATTTTTTCCAAGGAACAAAGCAGAGACTCATATTTGGGACCAATTTGAAATATTCCACTGAAGTCACCTTATAGCTATGAAATGCTTAACCCCAATGTTTCCTTTTGATATCTAGTATGTTGATAGTTTTTTTGGGCTTTGTTTTTTTGCCGCATCACATGGTTTGTGGGATCTTAGTTCCCCAACCAGGGATTGAACCCGGGGCCACGGCAGTGAAAGCACTGAGTCCTAACCACTGGACCACCAGGGAAGTCCCTGTCGATAGTGTTTCTAATTTGGGAGATCAAATATCTTCATAGTTTTTCTTCTTTAGCAGACATACTCTTATAACCCTATTTTCAAGAAGATTCTGCCATGAGGAAAAAGGATGCAACAGAATGAAATAACAAAAATAAGTAAGGGAATCAAGAAAAAAGAGTAGAAAAGATAGGATCAGGAGTGTATATATTTAGCACACAAAATATATACAGTGAAGACGGTACTTTCAGGGAGAAGGACACCCATTTGCCTTAAAGCTTTTTAATAGTCAAGAGGGAAAATTCAACACCACTGGTCACAATTCCCAGGATCCAGATGATTTAGAAAAATCACATCACCATCAAAATCACCACCACCACCAGCAGCCAGTGCCTTCGGAGAAGCCTAGCAATTTGTGGTTGTGAGACCAAAGAAATTTATCATACTCTAAGTACAGCTCATCAACTGTGAGGAAACCAAACAGGCTATAAAGTGCTTTATTGTGGGTTACCGAACTTGGTAATATTACGTATTGAAACAGCTGGAGACAAAAACCAAAAAGGGACAAACCCAAGTGGAGTTAATAATGATTTAAATCGTTTTATAAAGAAGGGGCAATCAAGGAAGTTCCTATTTAATCACTGCAGGTCCAACCTACCTCTGCTAATGGACACCAGCAAAATGGCCAGCTTTTATCTGCCTCTCTTCACTTCACTCCATTTCCCTAGCTGCAACGGAATCTGGGAAATGTAGTTTTTAGCTTTCCAGTCTCAGCTGTACAGGAGGACACAGTAGAAGGAGGTTAAAAGAGGTACTGTGTAAATAAGTCCACAATATCTACCTCAGCAATTTTAATCCTTTGGATACTGATTAGTCTGAGAATAGGTATGGGATCCTCTTCTGGCTGACGAAAGGTGCAATGGCTTCCCTTTCTTTTTTTCTTTTTCTTTTTAAAATTTTATTGGATTATAGTTGATTTACAATGTTGTGTTTGTTTCAGGTATACAGCAAAGTGATTCAGTTATACATATACATATATTCATTCTTTTTCAGATTCTTTTCTCATATAGGTTATCACAGAATATTAAGTAGTGTTCCCTGTGCTATACAGTAGGTCCTTGTTGATTATCTGTCTTATATATAGTAGTGTGTGTATGTTAATCCCAGCTCCTGATTTATCCCTCCCCTCTGCGTTTCTGCTTTGGTAACTATAAGTTTGTTTTTGATAACTATAAGTCTGTTTCTGTTTTGTAAACAAGTTCATTTGTATCACTTTTTAAAATTAGATTCCACATATGAGTGACATTATATGATATTTGTCTTCCTCTGTCTGACTTACTTCATTTAGTATGACAATGTCTAGTTCCAAGGGGCTTCCCTTTCTGAATCAAAAGACAAAACTTCTTAAAAAAAAAAAAAAAAAAAAAAACAAAAGACAAAACTTCTGAAGGAAATCATTCTCCACCCCTACCCTTCTTCCTGTCTGGAACACAGATGCAATGGCTGGCAATGTAGCAGCTATCTGGAGAACATGAGGTAACAAGCATGAGAATGAAAGCCAACACACTAAGGATGATAGAAAAGAAAGATAGACCTGGGTCCTCAATGGCATTGTTGAGCCGTTGCATCAGACCTGGATTGGACTACGTTTGTACATCAGACCTACACTTGGACTACGTTTATGAGAGACAAGTAAAGCTCTCTTTGTCAAAACTACCATAGTTGAGTTTTCTGTTGTTTGCTGCTGAATGCATTCCTAATTACAGAACTTATTGCAGTATTCCAGGCAGAGACAGGAGTGGTAGGTGTGAAAGTGGAGAGAAGCAGTCAGACTCAGGATATATTTTGGAAGTAGAACCACCGGGACTTGATGATGGGTTGGCTGGAAACAGGGGGTAAGGGATGGAAGAAATCAAGGATGATTTCTAGATTTTTGTCTAGATATGACAGATGGAAATGTAAAATCTTGTTTTCATTCAGGACACGGGAAAATTCTCCCACCACTACAGAAATAGCTAAGGAAGATAAAAACATCTTTGTGTTGCTCCCTGGACACCTGTATTCCATTGAGCCTAAGGGAAAATTGGGTTAAACTCATGTTAAATAATGCTGAAAAGGGTTGGAAATTCCTAACATCTATTATGAATACTGTAGCTGGAACATACACATTTTCTACAAAGCCTTCTCATCATCAAAGCTTTCTTTTCCATTGAGGTCCAGGTACACAAAACTAAACCCTGTCATCGACCATTACGTTCTGGTTTTTATTGCTTGCAGGAATAGACTAGCATAATATCAATACCAATACTTCTAAAGAATATATTAATTTTTTGAATCAGTAGGATAATGTTCCACAGCTGGGTCAAATAAACATTCCAAACCAGAGCTTTTTTAAAAGAATGCATTCTTTAAAAACATCTACATCATTATATGCATATATTTTAACATCAGGTGAAAAAAAGAAAGATGACTTTGTATGTTTTCTGCCAATTACTTGCATCACGAAGGCTTTTCTTTTGCTGATGAGAGTATCCTAGGAATGCCAAACACATCGCCTGCTGCAACCAGTTGCTTCTAAGGAAGATGGATCACCCCCCACTCCTCCTAAGAGGGCAGATTTGAGGTACACGGATCGCATGACCCCTTCAATTCCCGTTTCAGCCCCAGCTGAAAGGACAGTAAATTCATAGGCGTGACACGGCATGACTAGGCTTGAAAGGGTGAACAGACCATTTAGATTCTCTCCCTGTCAGGAATTTGAAATGAAAAACTTTAAGTGAATAGAGCAATCTGCCTGGGAAGGTGAAACTTAAAAGTTATGAGGTAGAGCGATGCCCTGAGAGCAGAGTGGAGGGCCTGAGAGGGAAATTAAGACTCACGTTGTTGGTGTGAGACGAAAGAGCCAGGCCTCGGTCCCTGGAGGTGGAACATTCCCCAGCCCTCCTCCCTTCCCTGCCCACCCTTTGGAAGCAGCGGGAGGAAACCTGGTTGCAGCCCTGGCAAGACAATGCTCAATACTGACACCAGAGACACCCAGGAAGTGAGCAAAGCCCTCTAGGTGACCCCAGAGCAGGGCTGCTTTCTGCACACCCTCCACCCTCAGGCCCCGTACCTCAGTGAGCTGAGCTAACTTGAGTCAGGCTCTGTCTTTTGAAATGCCCAACTAAAGCCGAAACAGTAACAAAAGTCTAATATCTCTTATAGTGTACTCAATAATTATTAACAAAAATTAATTATAAAGATAGAATTATTGTTGTAAACAATAATTACACCTTTGTGTTCTCTCCAGGCCCATGCTCCCTGACAACAAGCATCTGGGAGCATAGAATGCTTTCATACGAATGACCCTGGACAGTATTTTAGCCAAGGCGAACCCAAACCCTACAGGAGGCATTTCATTCAAACTGGAACATTTCTGTGAAACAGAGGAGCGATGTCCAGGGAGTATATCTGTGCAGCCTTACTCCACAGGCCTGGGCCGGGAGTTGTGTATGGAGGAAGGGGGCGGACGGGGACCTGCCTAACAGCCCTCAGGACAGCGTGGGATTGTGGCCCCCGTGGAGGACCACTTTGTATCAGTTTCCCCAAGGACAGGTGTTGTTTTTCACTGGATTGTGTCCTCAGGCCCACTCCCTGTCCGCCTTCTTCTCTCCTCTTCCCTTCCCCCCTGATGTTGGTTTCATCGGCCCAAAGGCAGCCTTTTATAGTGTGAAAGTATTTGCTGACTGTAGGAGGAAGCTTGAGTGAATAAGGTAAAATGGAATTGCAAGAAATCCAGATGGAGATGTACATACTTAATACAGATTGATGAGTGTTTCCACTTATACAGGACACCGTTTCCACCAGGTATCTGCCACCTGGGTCCTGGGGGAAATGGCCCAATACGCAGGAATCCTTGCTTCTCTCCCCGCACCCTTCTCTGCCTGCCAGGTACCCAGTTAGTCACAGACTGATTGACTCCCTATTTGCATTTTAAAGGAGAAGGCTGTAGTCCTTCCTCCCCCCAACAATTAATCTAAAACAGGCGATAAGGGAGAAGCTTTATTTAGCTTCCTGGAAGACAGTAAGCAGGTCTTTCAGATTCTGCCATCTCTGTTTGACACTCTTTTTCTGATTCCTCCAGCTTCCTTTTAAACCAAATTTAACCAGTTCAAATACCCCCATATATTGTA